ACAGGCATGCACCACCATGCCCAGCTAATTTTTTCTATATATTTTTAGCTGTCCAATTAATTTCTTTCTATTTTTTTTAGTAGAGACAAGGTCTCGCTCTTGCTCAGGCTGTCTCGAACTCTTGAGCTCAAATGATCCGTCTGCCTCGGCCTCCTAGCGTGCTAGGATTACAGGTGTGAGCCACGACGCCTGGCTTGTAATGTTTTTTAAATAAATTAAAACATAGGTTCACCGATAAAGCTCCTTTACCAGAAAGTTTCGTAGCAAGATTTCCTTAGCCTTTAATAAGCTGATAATTTTATTTCTTTAGGGCCCTCCCAGCATGGACACGGAGACCTCCAAATGTTCTCCTCCCCTGCAGTTTCACCCTCCCAGTCTGTCTTCCAACCTGCAGCCCAAGGGACCTTTCTGAGAAAGGCTGGGAAACTGTGGTTCATAAGTGTCTACAGGATTCTCAGAACCTTTCCTCTGCTACTGTGTGTTGACTGGACGGTGCAGGTCCCTAAGCTTATTAGATCCCACCTTTTGAGGCACATGCATTAGTTTTGAAGCTGACTCTAGGGGGCCTCAGGGTAAGAGGGTAATGAAGGGCAGTGGTGCTCTAGTCTGCCCCCAGCCCTTGCTGCCTGCATGCCTCTGCCTTTTTCTGGCTCTGCTCTCTCCTGGCCCAGACTCCTCCACCCACCTCCTCCACTCTGCAAACCTTGTTTAGGAATGCTTAGGCGTGACCTCCTCTGGGATGTTGCCCTCCCTCACTCCACGATATGTCTCCTCTCTCTCGGCCTGATTGTCTGCCTACCCTGTAAGAAGGCACACGTCACTCTTGTAACTAACTGCTTGTTTGTCAGTGTCCTTCACTGGACTTTGATAAGAGCTGAACTTTTTAAGGTACTCACTGTGGGAGAGGTACTGTACTGAGCATTTTACATACTTTTTTTTAACCACACCTTTGCCAGTATTGGATCGTCTTTATAATTTTTAAAACTAAACCTTTTATTATTACAAAAGCAGGATATGTTCATACATATAATCTGTATTTTAGAACATACAGATGACAAAAAAAGATAAAAATATCACGTACTTTCCTCTCAAAGATCAGCACTCTTAACATACTTTTATATATCTTTCCAGATTTTAAAAATGCTTGTATATATATAATTTTTTACCAAATTGAGATCATACTGTTTATGCTGGTTTTTTAAAAAAAATTTATTGTGGTAAAATATACATAACATAAAATTTAACATCTTAACCATTTTTATGTTTATAGCTCTGTAGTGTTAAGTACATTCACATTGTTGTGTAACCAATCTCCAGAACTCTTCCTCTTGGAAAACTGAAACTCTGTGCCCATTAAACAACAACTTCATTTCTCCTTGTCCCCAGCCCCTGGCAACCACCTTTCTACTTTCTGTCTCTATGAATTTGACTGTTCTAGGTACTTCATAGAAGTGGCATCATACAATATTGGTCCTTTTTTGACTGGCTGATTTCACTCAGCATAATGTCCTCATTTGGTAGCATGTATCAGAATTTCCTTCCTTTTTAAGGCTGATTATATGTATAGACCACATCTTTTTTTTTTTTTTTTTTTTTTTTGAGATGAGTTCTCGCTGTGTTGCCCACACTGGTCTCAAACTCCTGACCTCAAATGATCCTCTGCCACAGCCTCCTGAGTAGCTGGGATTACAGGTGTGAGCCACTGTGCCTGGCTAGACCACATCCTGTGTATCCATTCATCCATCAGTGGACATTCAGTTTGCTTCTGCTTTTGGCTGTTGTGTTGGTGCTGTGAACATGAGCGTACAAATCCTTATTTGAGTCCCTGCTTTCAGTTCTTCCGTGTATATTCCCAGAAGTGGAATTGCTGGATCATATGGTAAATCTATTTTTAATTTTTTGAGAAATTGCCATACTATTTTTTCTATATCAGCTGCACCATTTTACACTGTTTATGCTATTTTATAATCTGCTCTTTTCAGTTAAAAATTTTGAACTTTCCATGTCAATAAATTTCTGTTTCATCTAATACCTAGTCCATACTCAGATTTCCCCAGTTGTCCCCAAAATGTCTTTTATATCTGAGTTGTCCAAACCAGATTATGGTCCAGGACTAAATATTACATCTGATTATTATGTCCCCGTGCTCCATCTACTAACCTAGCATAGCTCCCTCCTTTTTTTCTTTCTTTTTTAACAGCTTTTTTTGAGGTAGAATTTACATACCATAAAATTCACCTGTTTGAAGTGTATGATTCAAAGATTTTTAGTAAATTTATAAGGTTGTACAACCATCACTAATTAAATTTTAGGACAGTTACATCATCCTGAAAAGATCCCTTGTGCCCATTAGCAGTCACTCCCCATTTCCCCCTCTACCAACCCTAGGCAACGACTTAGTCTACTTTCTGTCAACACAGCGATTTGCCTTTTCTGGACATTGCGTATAAATGGAATCGTGCAACATGTGGTCTTTTGTGAATAGTTCTTTTCGCTTTAGCTTGTTTTCAGGGTTCATTCATATTGTAGCATGTGTTGGTACCTCATTCCTTTTATTATATGGATATATTACATTTTGTTTATTCATCAGTTGGTAGATATTTGAGTTATTTCTACTTTCTAACTATTACGAATAATGCTGCTTTGAACATTGATGTACAAGTATTTGTGTAGACATAGATTTTCATTTTCTTGGGTAAATATGGCTAGAATTGTAGGATCATATGGTAGATTTATGTTTACATCTGTAGGAAACTGTCAGTTTCCCAGACTCAGCCCCCATTTTTACATGGCACATGTTAAAGACACCAGGCTGGGTCCCACAGATAGCCTTTTTTGTATTTATCTGGTTGCTTTCTCATGATGTCCTTTAGGTTATCCCCAATCACCTGAATTACCTATAAACTAGAAGTTAGATCCTGGAGCACTGTTGAATTCAAATTAAATTCCGGCTAGAACACATCACAGTTTGTTTTATATTTCATTTTGAGTCATATCAGCAGACAAATACTATTTGAGTTAAATTTTTTCCAAATAGATATTGAGTCCAGCATCATTTGTTGAAAAGACTATTCTTTCCCCCTTTGAATTACCTTGACACCGTTATCCAAAGTCAATTGATCATGTGTGTGTGGTTCTATTTAGGGACTCTTTAAAGAGCCCCTGCAGCCTCCCTGAACTCCAGTTTGTCTCCTCAACTCAGCAAGACTGTCACGCGTTGCCTGAGGTTCCCCTCCCTGCACCAAGGCCCAGAATATACCTCCAGGTAGAAAGTCAGGCTGAACACAGACTCACTTCCTGTGTTTTCGTTCTCTCAAGGACTAATCTCTTGTTCCCTTTTGTGCATTGTCTGAAAGCAATTGTTTTGCATATTTTGTTCCATTTTATAGTTTTCTGCAGTGGGAGGACAAGATCTGTGCTCCTTCATGGATAGAAGCAAAAATCTGCCCCCTTCTTTGTGCTTCAATTTGGATAGTTTCTATTCTGTCTTTAAGTATCGTGATCTTTTCTTCTGTAGTATCCAATCTACTAAGCTCATCTAATACAATTTTCATTTCAGATGCTGCATTTTTCATTTCTAGAAGTTCCATTTGGTTCTTTTTTGTATCTTCTATTTCTCTCCACATTATATTCATGTTTTCCTTTAAATCCTTCAGCATGTTGAGCATTTTTATTTATTTATTTATTTATTTATTTATTTTTTGAGACAGAGTGTCACTCTTTTGCCCGGGCTAGAGTGAGTGCCGTGGAGTCAGCCTAGCTCACAGCAACCTCAAACTCCTGGGCTCAAGTGATCCTTCTGCCTCAGCCTCCCGAGTAGCTGGGACTACAGGCATGAGCCACCGCGCCCGGCCTGTATATATCTTTTGATGCCACACTATGGTATTTGATCCTTACCACAACCCAGTGAAGTAAGTGGTGTAGTCTCTATTTCGTAGATAAAAGTAGTGAGGCCCAGGGAAGTTGGTTTGTGATGTGTTTGTAAGTGGCAGAGCTGAATCTTGAGCCCAGGTTTCTGGCTTCATTAGTCATGCCCTTTGTGCTCCATGAGAACAGAGAGAGCAGTTTTTCATGGAGTTTTTTCTCAATTATGAGACTCTCATTTTACATCTTTAGCATATCTCAAATCAGGAGGATGTATTTTTTTTTTTTTTTTTTTTTCTTTTTAAGAGACAGGGTCTCTGTCACCAATGCTGAAGTGCAGTGGTGTGATCATAGCTCACTGTAACCTTGAATTCCTGGGCTGAAGTGATCCTCCACCTCAGCTTCCAGAGTAGCTGGGACCACAGGTGTGTGCCACCATGCCTGGCTGATTTTTAAAAAATTTTTTGTAGAGGCCAGATGCCGTGGCTCATGCCTATTATCCCAGCACTTTGGGAGGTTGAGGCAGGAGGATTGCTTGAGGCCAAGAGTTCGAGACCAGCCTGGGCAACATAGCAATGCCCCATCTCTGTAAAAAATTTAAAAATTAGCTGGGCGTGGTGGTGCATACCTGTAGTTACGTTCAAGAATGTGCATATTTTTATAGCAAAGTAGGCTTCTAAAAGTTGCATGCCTGTGCTTGTCTCTGCAGGTATTTTATGCATGGTGTGTGTCGGGAAGGAAGCCAGTGCCTGTTCTCACATGACTTGGCAAACAGCAAGCCGTCCACCATCTGCAAATACTATCAGAAGGGCTACTGTGCCTATGGAACTCGGTGCAGGCAAGGACTCCATGATGGGCCCCGGCTGTTACACTGACTTCACGTGGAGCTCGGGTCTTGATGAGGGGGAAATTTCCCTTTAAAAGTAATATGACATTACAAAAAGTATGGCAAATAAGCTTAAAACCTCAGTTTCAATGCCCTAAAACAACTTTTAACTTTTCAAAACTACTTTTCAAGCCTTATTGTTATGAGTATATAATTATAAAATGGTACTCACAGTCAACATAAGATTTTATATCTTGCTTCTCCCCCTTAACATGTCATAAGTTTTTTTCCTTTGCTGCTGTTTTTTCTCCTGACTGTAATTTTATAATGTTAATGTACCATCATTTTATTAGCTATTCCTCTGTTAGACATTTAAGTGGTTTCCAGTGCTTTTTTTAGTACAAGTTAGGAGAGGCTGGTCTCCTGGCTGTTACACTGGCACTTGTCAACATTTTGGGGACTCCTGCCCAAAGAACACTGGCTCGATCAGGCTTTGGGAGATTTCAGCTCAACATCTGTTTGGAACTTTTGGGCTTTCTTTGGATGGTCTAGAGCAGTGTGTCTGTCCCACTCAAGTCGCACCCCAGTAGGTGATAGATGGCAAATGTCCCACTCACACTGAATGGTCAGGCAGCCGTTACTAATCGATAAGCCTGTTAGAGTTCAAATATTGGGAAAGATGGTTTTCTTCTCCACCTCAATAAGCGGAGCGGAAGGAGGGCCACTGCCGTCTGGGGAGTGGTTGCGCATGCGGGGAGTGTGTCCGTAACGCGTCTGCTGTGTGTTTTGTTTAGATATGATCACACGAGGCCCTCTGCTGCTGCTGCTGGTGCTGCAGGCACCGCGCCCCACAGTGTGCCCTCCTCGGGTTTCCACGGTCCTCGCCCTCCTTCCGACCTCACTGCATCTATCGTGAAAACTAATTCACACGAACCCGGAAAGCGCGAGAAGAGAATGTTGGTACTTCGAGACCGAAGTGAGTGAGAAGAAGCCTTTCCCTGCATCTTTTTGAAACATAGTCTTACTTATCTGTGGTGCTCCTTTCTGGCCTTCTCTTGTCAAGATGCTCCTAAGCTAATACCCCTCCCAGTTAATCGTCCACGTGGAGAGACTCCAGAACCGTTCCGAATGAGGGCTCCACTTGCCTGCAGAGCATTCAGGTGATGCATTTGGCCTTGCGCCCAAAGCTGGGTTGAGCTCCGTTGGTGGGCAGAACATAGAAAGTGATCTTTTTGTCAGTGTGTAACTGCCATCTGCGTGTGATTATCCAGTAAGTGAGAAGCATCAGGCTCCTCATTTCAACACTAAGTACTTTGATAAAGAGCATATTTCACTGTTTGACTTTTAGGTCACTCATAGTCTTAGTTCGTATGCTGACTTGTGTTTGGTGTTTAGTCTGCACCTTTGGAAACAGAATAGCATGTTACGGTCTGTGCCCTGGGACAGCATTTGGGAAGATGAAAGCTACAAATTATAAAAGTTGTCTTATTGACTGGTCCTCACCAGGTGAAGAGATTTCTAGTTCTTGGAACTGTGCACGATAAGCAAGACAGATTCCATTCGCAGCAGACACGTAACCCAGTGGGACATACCACCTCACCAAAGCTCGGAGTCTGTGCAGTGGGAAGGCCTTTGTCATCACGGGCGCTTCAGCAGTGGCGTGAGGGCCCAGGGATTTGCTCTAGACTTTTATTCTGGTTCACTTTAAAATGATTGGTGACTTCACTGGTGTACACTATATTCTATTTCCCTCATTCTAAATTCCCCTGGACTTAATGTTTTTGGGCTTTTTGGTTTGTTTTAGTGTTAACTGTCTTAACATTTTCATATTTGCCCTCTTTAAACAGCAACTTAAGTGTTCTTTTGTATAAATATGTTCTGTTTTGCTGTTTCCCTGTCTTGCCATTTTAGTATTATTAAAAGTAACATCTCTGTGAACATTTTATACTATTCCCTTTTGGGGAATTTGTGTTTCCCTTTTGGCCTGTCATTTGCCATTTGTTCCCAACAGTGGAATTCCTCAGGTCAGAGTCGTTTAATTTGTTAGGTTTTGGCTAATGGCTTACCAGAAACATTGGGCCAGTTTTCATGCATATGCTGTGTGTTTTGTATTCAGATCTCTCTGGCATGGCTGAAGAAAAGACTCACCCCAGCATGGTGAGTAATCCAGGCGGCTGCAGTGACCACCAGACCAGCCCAGAGATGAAGCCACATTCCTACCTGGATGCCATCAGGAGTGGCCTCGATGACCTGGAAGCCAGCAGCTCCTACAGCAGCGAGCAGCAGCTGTGCCCCTACGCAGCCGTCGGGGAGTGCCGGTTTGGGGATGCCTGTGTCTACCTGCATGGGGAAGTGTGTGAAATCTGTAGGCTGCGAGTACTGCACCCCTTCGATCCAGAGCAGAGGAAAGCTCATGAGAAGGTAAAGTTGTGGACCTTTGCATGAACTTGTTTTAAGAAATCTGAAATGCACTTAACAGGATACTGAAGCCAAAAAAAAAAAGAGAATATCTGAAATGTACTCAGCGACAATCGGTATTTCTACAGGTATCTTTCTGCCAGTAATACCTACATTATTATGTACCTGGCATGTTTATATCCTGTTTTCAGGTTCTTTTTCCTATTGTCATTTTGTCAGTTTTTAATTATTGAGAATAAAGAGAAAAGAAGAGGCATCAGAAGCATGAAACAATGCAAAGTTCAGAGGATACATCTACCCTAGGAGCATGAGGGGGTCTCTCTCCTCTCTCCTCTCTCCTCTCTCTCTCCTCTCTCCTCTCTCCTCTCCTCTCTCTCTCCTCTCTCCTCTC